CACTCTTTCTTCACTTTTTTCCCCTTGGATTTTTTTTTCCTAGAAAGGTAACATCGAACACCCCTTATTTTTTAAAATTTCTACTCTTAGAGAACATATTCTAACAGATATATAAAACAAAAAATAAACATTCACTTTTATAGGAATCACTTAAGTTCTATTAGGGAAATAAATCCAACAAATAGCAATAAATAAAAGCTCAATTACTTTGCATAATCATCAGAACTTAAGCTCATTGAAGTTTCATCGGAATCTGAAGCTATGAACTCATCCAGACTGTCTTCATCAAAATAGCCCTCAAAAGAGAAAAAACAGAAATTTTATTAAGTATGCTCATCCAGAAGCTTTTATTAAACTTTAGCCATCTGCTTATTCTTCATTTAAACAATGGTAAGTTCTACAAAGGGTTGGCCTTGCAAAATGTTTTAAGAATGACAACATACCCAGAAACAAAAATATGACAAAAACAGCAGCAAAATTACCCCACAGCAACAAAGATTTCCATTAATTTGACGAAACTTTACCTAGCATTTGGCAAAGCTTATTTGGAAAGTTCTCAATAGAGAGTATTTTGATATATCTAATTTACCTTATTTTCTTTGCTAATATAGTCCAGCTGCAAACACCAAGGGTGAGTCCAGATTCTGCTCAACATCTGGAAATCCTGGAATAGTTTAGCTCCAGCTTTGCCTCTTCCACCTTCATTGCCACTACCTACACCTGACAATAAAGTTCAGATTTTAGAGTGAAACCTTGAAGTAAGTTTGCCACATACTGTTCCCCCTTTGAACAATCTGTTAGTGCAGTACTGAGTGTTCTTTCCAGATGCACATCATATTGTAACGTCTCTTGTAAAAGAGGTCAAGTTACTGAGTCACAGGCATTTTTTTCCTAGTTAAAGTTGTCAAAATTAGATTTTCCCCTTTTTCTTGATAATGAGAAACATGATTACATTTTTACATAAAAGCACATTTTTCCCCAGTATAGGAATGAATCCAAATCCTCTTAAAAGGACAGTCATGTCTATTTAGGTTTTGTAAAAGCAGTCCAAGGTAGAAAACACAAAATAACATTTGCATTTAGGTTTCAATGAATTCGGCTTACTATTTTGAGCTACCTTTATTTAATGACTTGTAATGCTGCAGTATTCTATTACAATAAAGAATCTAAAAAAAGCCCAGCCTATTTTTTCATTGTCCAAGCACAAATTAGTGCAAAGTAGTACAACGTTCACGGAGTTAAATTTCTTTTTTGTAGTCTCAATTTCTCATTAAGCAGCACGTTAACTTTTGGTTCTTGAAACAGATTGGGTTTCGTATTTATTATATGCATAATTTAAGGCATGCACACCTGCAAGAAAATAGTATTTATTGCACCACAATCATCAAATACGGCAAAACGGGCACAAAGCTTATTCGGTGCATTTGCTCAATGCACAAGACAATCCCAGTAAACATCTAGAGAGTACAAATATTTTAACAAAGCAAGTTCTTGCTATGTTTTAATCATACAACAGCTTCGAGTATCTTCCCATTTGGGCTCCCCTATGACTTTGGGAAATGGAATTGTAAGGACAACAGACGTTCTTAAATTTGACTTCCCTAAACCTGAGCTAACATCACAGAGAAACTTGCTGTTAACAAGTTTCAAGTTAACAAGTCCTTGTTAGGACTATAGACTCTTTTTAATTTTTTGTATCACAGAAGTGAAAGAAAACACCTATCACTTTCACTAAATGAAGGAAAAACTTGGTAAAATTGCATCTGAAGTGTGTATTTTAGTTCATGCCTGTTACACTGCACAGGAAAATGTAATTTTAAAAATTTGCAGACGAGAAGCAACAATTTCCCTTCTATATTTATCTTCAGTAGCAAGACTCCCTTTTTTTACTTAATGAAAATCAGAAAGCACGTCATCGTCTTCTGAAATACAAAAGTAATGCAAAGAATTAATGTGGGCATCAGCAACCAGCATAGAGATTCGCTCTGAAGACCTGAGCCATGGTTAGCTTAGACAGCTTCTTCCCCTCTAAAAGAGGCCGTTGGTCTTTCCTTTCTCTTGTTTGCCCTCTTCTTTCTCATATTGTCTCTGGCACTGACTGAGCCGACCAAACTGGCAGGACACTAACCCAAGACAAAGACAGAGAAAGCAGATAATGCCTTCTACTAGCTTAGGGAGTTTAAGCAGCCCACAAAGGGCTGGTAAGTCATGAAACAGTACAACCCCTTTTGGCAAATACAAACTTAGCTAAACCCAAATAGTTTTGGTGAGCCCTTCAAGTCTAGGCGATTAATTAAACTACCTGTTAGGCAGTGCATTTTCTTATAGTTAGTTACACATACACCCTGTTAATAAATTAATGACTCCAACAATGTAGCAAATTTGAAGCTCACTATAATAGGCTTTTTGCCAGAGCAAACCTTTCCCTTAACTTTAAGAGACACTGGACTAGGGGCTACTTCTTCTTATATGCTGCCTGCTTTATTAAAAAAAGAAGTATTGAAAGCCATTGTATGTAAAGACTTCCGTAAAGAGTAAGAGAAGAACAGCTGTAAACATACAGCACTAGCTCTTACGCTAATCAATGATCTGTAAAAGATTTGCCATCTAAAAGCATGGCAGACCAAGAAAGCCAGTGTTGGGAGAGTCTGAAATTACAAAAACAGCCCCATTTTGTATCAGAAATAGGCCAAAGATAACCTACCAAACTACTGTAACTGTTGTGATTAAAAAGTTCCTATGAAGAGCTACAAAGATTTAACCTAAATTATTTATATGCATGCCTGTAAAGTAAATAGCTAATGCTTATCATTTTTAAGCTACTAGCTTTTGGAAGGCATTTAGCATGATGCAGAAATAAACAGAACACAAATAACCTGCTTTTCAGAACATTTATATAAAGAAGAGCCAACACAGAACAGACTGCAGTACGGAACTAATTAGGAATCAGCACTACAACATACATTGTTTATATACTGTTGTGAAGTCCTATTAATGTAAGAAGGGGGTGGTGGTGTTTGTTTTGGTTATTTTACAGTTTTTTTAAATAAAACACTAAGTTTTTACTCCTTTGGAGTAAAAGGGCAAACAGGGCAGTTGGCATTTAGGCACCCAATTATTACTGGAGGTATCAGTAGAAGTGAAATTATTTTCACTGGTCCTTCAAAACTCTTTCCTTCTATAACTTAGCCAAATAGAGACAATAGACAACAGAACTGTGGAAATGAAGTCGAGCTGGCAGTTTATCTAGGAGATCACAGACCGTACTATCCGGACTCTAAAATCATTAAGACAACACAGTGAATTTCATATTACTATAAGTCATAGCTTAATTTGAGATATCTTTCTTGTAATTAAACTTGGGAGAGTAACCAGAATAGAAAAATATAGTTTAAAAAAAAAAAAAAAAAAATCCATCAGCAACAGACAGGCATTAAAAAAAAAAACAACCAAAAAACCCAAAAACCTGGCACAACAGACTACGTAGTACATTTTGTCATCACCACAGAAAGTGAATACACACCTCAAGCTTGAGACAAAATCCTAACAGCAGTGCCTTAAACATTCTTGACTATGGAATTCAACCCCCAACCATTAAGTCAATTATTATAAACAGTATTTAAAAAACCAGAGTTGCTCCAGAACCCAAAAACTGCTGCTGAGGAATATGGCTGCATGAAGCACAGTGGTACAGAAAACCTCACTAAAAGTTCCTTGAGACTACCATTCTAATAGTTTATGTGGTACATATGTGTATAACATTTAGAAGTGTTGATATTCCAATACCTTGATATACTAAAATTACAAGCTGCAGTGGCTTATCTTAATATAAGTGAACAGCACACCAGCCCACAGAAACATATTTCGGGGTTTTGGTTTTTTTTTTTCCTTATACACCTTTTCAATTAAACAAATTTACGTTTTATTGGGAAGATGCAAGTCCCAATACTTGCAAGACAGACCAGTCAAGACCCCACTGAAAGCTGATGAAAAGCAAGGTCATTGTGAAAACCAGATTTGTGGGTTTTGAGAACAAAAGAAGAGATAGTTTCACAAAAGAGCCCATATTTGACAAATAACAGCTTCAGCTAGCATAATGACAAAAGAAAACTGCAAGGCTTGGCAGCGCGCTTACACCAGTACATCTCAATTTTGCATTCTCTCCCTCCAGTTTTATAGTCAATATCTAGTTTCTTGGAAGAGTAAAACATTAAATCATTTACATTTTATGTTTAGAAAAGGAGGAAAAGAGAGTTGAACCAAAACCTGAAAGTGGACTACTGTTAAGAGATGCAAATATTAATATTCCTCAAAAAAAATGTTTTTATGTGCAACCAAATGTTTTGCTATAATATAAGTTTCAGAGCTAAGGTAAATCTTACAGGAAGCAGAAAAATACATCTGTAGAGCCAGTAATGCACATTAAAAAAACCCCAACCTACCAACTTTGGCAAAAAGCCCCTTATTAAATGACCATCAATCTTGTTACTTGAGAGAATTGTAGGCACATACCTGTCAAATGATCCAAGTAGTATTGGTAGAGTTTGCACTGAATAGGTGTCATTCGAACTTCTAGAACATACTCGTATTTTGGTGGGAGGAACTTCGTTAATGCTGTGTAATCTTTCCTCTGTAATTTTACAAACAGTATTTTAGTCATATAAACATGAAAACGACTACTGAGAGCTTAAGAACTTCTGGCATCTTAAATGACAAAGCACCATGCATAAATTACAATGATTCAGATGCTTTCCAACCACTAAGGGAAAAAAACAGCCCACTGCATACAATCCAATTAAAGGCACTGTCTGCAGAAGCCCATCTTACCTAGTAAATGCAGTTGTCTAGTCAAAAGTATACGACCTGTTAACCCCATGTCCCAGTTCCAAGTCCTTGCAAAGTTGACTGCAACTTCAGTAGCTGCACTGCTAACTACTTTTGTGGGTTTTTTAGAAATACTAAAACCTTTTCTTGTGAAAGCCTGGCTAAGTCTAGCAGCTAATATCATTGTTTGAATCACAGATGAACTCACTCACACTCAGGTTAGCTGTTTTCTGTTTTAGAGTACATAGTTTCTGAATACTTGCTTGGGGCAATGCAAAATTTACTTCTGTTTTCATTTTTTTGACTCTTACGCTAGTCTACTCTCCACCTACCCCTTCATCCAAATGGTGAATGGTGTATTGATCCTGACGGAGAGACCGTTGCACGTTTAGGAGTTAAGTGACCTTCATCAGAGCTAACCTGCCTGCGCTGTGCTGCACAGACTCCTTGGCTGCTGGATAACCTCAGCCAGCTCACTGCAACAGAGGAGCCTGCAGGCAGCTCCCACTCGGTACTGGCGATTAAGCCACCTGCATGGCCTTGCTGTTATCTAGAAGTGCAGCAAGAAGCTCTCGTGAGAACACCCTTTAGGAACAGAGTTGTTTTCTTCTAAGGAAATTATATAATAGCTCCTGTGACCCAAAGGGAGAGCTGCTCTCTACAGACAGGATCTGCTCTGCGCGCATGCTGTGAGAAAATCTGTCTGGGCTCCATCCAATGCTGCACAAACACAGGGTGCCCAGCATCTGAAGGCACGTAAGATTTACTCGCTATTTAGGTTCTTCTTCTCGTTCTGTCTTTCCGTTTGTGTTCCTGTACTGCTGTATAGATGTGTAGAATTATGTACACTATCCTCTCACTACTATTCGTATTTCCAAGATCACAATTTTATGATAGGAGGTCTTTTACCAGCCTTACACACTGCCTTAAACCTTTTTCTTTCTTTCAAGGAGAAAGAAATATCTGCTTGTGGGACTATCCCACTATGACCAGTTCACCCACCTCATTCCCACTTGGACTATTTAATCAACTACCAACAACTGCACAGCCAGGAAGAGACACTTAGCATCACACCTTCCATCAGACTGCCAGTGCCTGGGCTTATAAAGCAGAAGAGCAGTAACATCATGCTGACAGCACACGAGGTGGAATACCATAGCAGGTTAACTGAAGAGCAAGGAATCCAGCCCTCAATCTGGAAATCTAGGCAGTTTTGTTTTGTTTTTCTCATCTAAGGTCTTCAAGGTAACAAGTTCTTCACCCTTTTCGACCTGATTAATCTTCCTTCTCTTCCCCATTGTTCTGATTCTCACAAATCAGAAAAAATAGGAATTCAGAACCAAGTGACAAACTATGGATAACCAACTTTCTGTGCAGTTTTTAAGGCAGTTGAGTTTTTAAATGTGTATTCTTTAAATGGGTATATGGAATTAAAAGAGAGTATTTCAAAGCAACTCTACCATATAATTTTCTAGTCTCCTAGCAGGAAAACAGCTGTATTCTCTAATATACATATATGTCCTCCTTAGGATACACTGACATTTGGATAAAAACTATGAAATTTTTCTAAGTTTTTCTAGTCACAAGAAATAATGCAGAGATCTAGTAGTTAGTGAAAATATTTAAGTCAAAAGTAATAGCTGGATTCAATGGAGCTCTCAAATAGCAAGTTTACAGGCCTTTGAGTGCTTTTATCAGAACAAGCTGAAATAATTCCCCCCGCTCCCTGAAGCTAATTCAAGTAATTAGTTATTGTAAAACTGTTCTTACCTGAACACATCCAGCTAACATCTCATAGAGGATATGTGCACGCTTCTTCATTACTCTGACATCTACCAGAGTAGAGTCTGCACACTGACCGTTCTGAATTGGATTTATAAATCGATTTCGGAATTCCTTAATTGAACCGAGCAAATTCTCCTTAATAAAGTTAACCATGCAGTGATCTAGGACAAAAAGGTCAGACTTGAGTTGTTCAAAATGGAAAGCATAGTACTGGGATTAATTCTAACAGAAAATAAATACGTCATATCTAAAACTAAGAGCTTTCTATTGAGCAAAAAAACCCAAACCACCCCAACCTTTTCCAGAAGGGGCATCTTAAATTGACACATACTCTAAGCACAGAGGTAACGTCTAAATTTAATGTCAGATTTAAAACTACCTCACTGTGTTTGTTACACAAAGTTTGAAAGCTGCAGTACAACAAAGCAATCGTAGCAAAATCGTATTTGCAAAGATTTTTAAATAGATTCAAATGCATATTAATCAACAGGAAAAAACATTACAAAAAAGCGTATTAACAAACAGGAGTAAATGTTACAAGCTAGTTGAGAATGAAATTCCCAAGACAGTAACATAAATCACTGTTCAGTAAGTTCACTAAGAACACTGCTCTACAATGGTTTAAAACAATTTAAATTAATGCTGCTGCAAGACCTGGTCCACCCACTTCCCCTCTGAACATTCTCTCCCTTCCCCTTTTGACATGCTGAGACTCATCCGATCCTTTGGTTAGCCAGATCAAGGAACTAAACTGCCAAAACGCTATTCACTTCTGCATTATTAATTTTCTGATACACCTCATACAGGCTCCCTAAGGAATCAGCTGTATGTAAGGCCACGCCAAGGGAAAGGATGGGGAAGAGGCCAGATTCCCAACAGCTTCATTTTAATTTGGCTTAAACCATCATGGAGCCACATCTTGAGACAATGATTTAAAATGCAAAACCAGATTGTTAGGGGTTTTTTAGATACAGAAACCTAGCAAACAGCTTCACTGTATTAAATTTTTTTCTTCTAATCAAACTAAATCTGTATATTGCTGAAAGACAAAAGTATATTCAAGGAAATAAACACTTCTTAAATCAGAGAACTACTTACATTCTATAAGATTATTTTGCAGTGGCGTTCCTGTAAGAATTATTCTTCTCCTAGATCGAATAGAATTCATTGCCTTAGAAACAGCAGATGCTTCGTTTTTTAGTATGTGCCCTTCATCACAAACAACAAAGTCGGGGCCTAGAAAGAAATAACGTTAGATCTCTTCCATCTTTTATAACCACAAATAAACTGGCAGCCTAAAGAATTCAAAATTTGTTCTACTTATGTTATTAAGTTGTTTTTTTTTTTTTTAACGCCGGGCGGGGGGGTGTTTAGCACCGTTAAAGCTCTCACTTAGCCTTTGCACAAGCATTCACAGTAGCCATTCTGGTAAACTACAGGCTGTTGATTGTAAAGTCTTCATCGGAAGGATTAAATACAGCTTTGCAATATATTCCTATAAAAATTATCTATCCACGCAGCTAGTGTGTGCATGTCTACACTTCCATTCACCCTGTCAAAACTTCATAAAACTGTTCCTTAAATCCAGCCTAGGCTGCCATCTACTGGTGCTTGGTCAATTCTAAAGAAAACCAAAAATAAGATAAGCAGTAATTTTTCATTAAGGCAACAGGTCAGTATCAATAGGAGTAAACAGTGCAATCAAAAGTCTTATCTAGGACAAGACATGATCAAATATGATTTGAATTACAGACAAGTGAACTGCCACCTTGTAGCTGAAAGTCATCACAGAAATGTCCTCAGCTTTCTTTCAGAAGATAAAACCGAGGATTCTAGACTGCTATTTTAGGTGAGTTGCACAAGGAATGTCAAAACCACACAATACATTTCCAGGTATGCAAAGCAACTCTAATAGAATTATTAACTGTTACAATTTGGGCTCAGTTTTGGGGCCAGTCCTGTTC